CAAATACGTGTACAATATGATAGAAATGTCGTACAGAGGGAAATTCGTAGTGAGCGCATGGCTTTGGGAACTGTATAGACAACTATTAGACATGAAAAATTTGATGTTAACAACCCAAAAGTTTCTAGAAGAACACTTACCGGAACTTATCGTTACCCTACAAAAATTGATAAGGTTGTGTCGTAAAAATAAATACTTAATGAAAAGGTTTGATTACACTTTAAATGATTACAACGAGAAATCTAGTCGACTTCTACAGTTTGATACATTTTTAAAAATGTATGACGAAAAATATCAACGATTTCCAGAGAAGTCTGAAAGTTATAATTTCCCTATTGTTGTCAACCATTTGTTGACGACTAAAATGTTTTGGTTTCCACAAATTTTCGACGAAATCTCTGGCCTTGCCTATAATTGGAAAATTACACACGATATATTGGAAAAGGAAATGACAAATATCAAAAGTGAACTCCGGAAGGGAGAATGTACGACACAGCCGTTCAGATACTCAAAATATTACGAATTAGTTTTGGATGTCCTTAAGGCAAAATGGTACAGTTTTATTTGGGTTCATTTACATTTATATCAAAAAACAGGAAGTGACGGTAGATTTGAACATAATTATTTTATAAATAATTTAATTCAAGCGCTATTGTTTGTTTATATTGATGACCAAACCTTTAACGAAGTCCTTAATTTGTTAAGTGAAACATACGAAATAAACGACGAGAAGATAAATAATATTACAAAAATATTAGCAAAGGAAGTAAACCGGATTTTCCAAAATTATCCTGGGCGAAATCAAGAGGCAAAAATTGATGATAAATACGTTGAACGAAATTATAATAGCTATTTTGAACTTCTTCAATGTAATAGAATAAATTTTGAACGGTTCTTTCGTGAAACTAAAGACATGTACTACCCAATTAATTTAAAAATTCTATCGTTTTTTATGATAGGAAACAAAACCATCGACTTTGTATTCCCGAATATATATCAATGATACATGGAATATCTGTAGAAAAACACACGTTTGAATACAGTGAATATTAACTAATTACTAAATATAATGCTCATTAAACATATTAAAGAAATTTATGTACGCTTCTAAATGACATGGTATTTTGATTTGCCAATTTGTATTTGATTCATAATGAATAATTGTTTTGTATTTAACTGATGTCTTTATAAATTATAAAAAAAAATGATTATAAATTTACTATAGGCAAAAGAGAGAGGGATTGCATAAGATTATACTATACACAATATATTCGCATCAAGGCTTTTGGAAGTGATAAAACAACTTTCAAGTTAAATACCCTCCTTGAACAACTATGCTAATTTATAGTGGTACCAATGCATAGCTGTTAATACTAGTGTATAATTGAAACAGCGAACTAATCTTACCAAACCAAGTAAATTCATGGACACGATAAGAAGAAGACTGTACTAGTTCGGACTGCACTGGCTTAAACTGTGCATGGTTTGACTGTACTGGTTAAGACGGTATTTGATGTATACTCTACAAGTTTTAACTACACTAGTTTGGAATGTACTGGTTACGGTTGTGCTGGTTAACACTGCGATTGGTTTGAATTAACTATACTTAAAGTATAGTTAATGACTATACTTTAAGTATAGCCGTGTGTTCATTTAAAGGGTTATATGCAAAATATCAAGTTTGTAAGCTCACAATGGTCTTCAAAATCTACACAGATACGGTTTGAGCCACTTTTTGGGTTTTTTCATTACAAAAAAAAAATAAGCCATAGATTTTTTAACATAAATACCCAATTTTGCTATTTATACACGTTAATAGGTATATGCTAGACATATCTTAAGTCTAATTTTCAGCGTCTAATCCTAAGATAGTAAGATTAAACCAAAAAACTTCTGTGTCTTGATTTTTAAATTCGATGCGTGGCTGGGAAGGTATTTTTTTTTTGTGACGTGTTTTCATTATTTTTTATATGTATACGATTTGCTGAAAATAATGTAGTTAAATATTTTTTGTAACGGGTGAAAATGAAAACAATATATTAAAAACAGTCGATCAAGTTTAATCGTATATATTTCAGTGTACCAAAAATAATTGTTTTAGCACATTATTTATATTTTATGCTTTATCAAAATTTGTATGTTTACCGTTTTCAGATTAGCACCAAAATGTATAACTGAAAGTACTTTTATCTCTTTAATTTATTCGATTCCATAATATTTAGAAGGAAAACTTATGTTTAATAATAATATATTTATTATCGTTTAAAATAGTTCAACTTTTTTATCGTTAAAATAGCACATAAAATTTAATCGTAAATAAAATTGGAATAATGCAAGCATTAGTTTTACATTAGTTGTAAAACCAAAAAGCAATACACGCAGTTCAAACTCTGATTTAGTGTACTGTAAATATATAATCTTATTGAAAAAACCGTTTGTCAATAAAACCACGTATGGTAAATTGCTAACCCAGCAAAATATAGGTGTTTAGATTTTAGTGTTTCGGTAAAATATAAATCTTTTGATGAATTGCGAGGAACCATTTTTAAAGCAAGTTGATCACATAGACAATTGTCTAACCTGTGTTATAGTATAGTCCTTTCAGTCGTACACAACAAAAATAAAGTCCAAACAAACAAGGAGATTTAGTTTTTTAAATTATATAAAATAGCAATGAAGGGAAAAATCTTGAAATCATATTGAACTCGTAAAAGAATCAAAATAGCCTATAAATGTGTCTAAAATCGTGATTGTGCAAAAGATAGGGTGCAATTGACCACGAGGGTCAACTGTGCTAAAATTTATAAATACCTGTGATTTTTTTTTGCGAGCAATGTAGTTTTAAACAATCGAATTAAATGACACATTTGAATAGGACTGAATACTTCATGGTAACCTAAAACAAAATTACTACCTTTTTTTTTAGATGACTGAAATTTTCAGTCCTATTCAAGTTTTTTATTTACTTAGATTGTACAGAAATTCATGGTTTCCTTCATATAGAACAGAGAAATTTATAAATATTGCCACAACTGACCTTCATGATCATTGCACCCTAACTTCTGCACAGGAACATGTTACCTACTACAGAATGTATTTGCGTTACCTAAGTAAAATACTGGCGAACAATAATAATTACATTTGATAGAACAGTAGAATTACCAAATTTTTGAAAAGTTTTACCATATTATTTGGTTTTTTTGAAATACTCAAAAGCCTTCTTTAATTTTTATAAGTAGAATATTGTTATTGTTTAAATGATAGTACTTTTAACAAAATAGCCTATTCCATCAGATTGCTAAACGACTGTTTAAACATAATATTTTTGTAGCTACAATAAAAACAAAATGTATTTTCTTCAAGTTGTTTTATTGCCAAAGCTGTTTTTGCACTGTAATTTCATATTATATACATTACACCGGATAGGAGTTTAAACTATGTGTATCTGGTTTAATGGTTTCACAACCATTCGTAAACCTAACTCTTGCGTTATTGACATTTTGCGGTTTAATTTTAAATGCTAGTCTACCGATAAAATTCGTACCTTACCTAAGTATCTATTATCTTCTGTATCTCATCCACTTGAGGTACCTATCTTAATTTTAGTTAAACTGTTTAAATTAACTAATCCTCCAATATTAGTTATTATATTATGGTTTAAAGCTTTTTTTTAATAACAACCATACATACCGTAATATTTCCCATACATAATAATACAAACTAAATATAATAGTTTTCTGACTGTAAAAGACGTGCAAAATTATTTTAACTATTTTTTCAATTAACTTTTTAGTATAAATTAATTAATACAATATAATGTTACAAAAAAAAAAAACGAAAACGCTTAAAAAGAATCCTAGATTATTATAAAATATATATATTTTAATTTTGAACATAATAATTTAATAACGAATACATACGAGTAATCCTGTAAAAGGTTTCATGTAATTTATCAACATACAATCTACCTAACATACCCTCCCACCCTCTCATCGATTGTCATTTATACGGAGCATTGTGTTACAGGTTTTTCACCAAGATATCTGTTAGATGGTACAGACGTTACAGTTTTACCAAGTGAACTAAAAGAAAAAAAACAAATGGATTGCATAAGAAATGGAAAAATAGCACTTGAAAATAAAGAAAAAACTCATAATTATAATAAAAAACTGTTTGTCAAAAATCGTAAATACGTTGAGTTTAAAGAAGGAGATGTAGTGTACGTAGAAAATGGAAATAAACTAAACAGAAAAAATTGGATGAACTGAAGATTGGACCATAAATGATCATAGAGAAGGTATCAAACTCAATCTATAGGATTAATACAGGTCACAAGAAATTAGAATCAAATGAATTCCACATAACGAAACTTGTTCCAGTCCCTAAATTAGATGATAAAGCTGAATACAACGAACATTTTTTTGAACATTTTCTTCCCCAGGGGGATGAAAAACTATTGAGATATAAAGAAAATGTATTTCTATAATTTGAATTTCGCGGATAAAGTAATAACTTGGTAGAGAGTTTAAGGTTAGTTGAAACGGGTGTGATTACACGGGTCATGAGTGATAAGGAAAATGAAATGTATTTCGTTTGGTTGCAATATTTACAATATTATTATTTACCTGCTAAATAAAAAATACTGTAATACTTATTTATAAAGCAAAAAGAACCACAAAGAAATAAATTACATAAATTAACTTTTATTGTCGTTTCGTTGTTTTTCAGGTTAGAGTTGTTTATATAATGTAATTGAAATAATGAAAATAAACTTTATTTTTCAGAGCAACGAAATACTGTTATTTATTATATATTACTTGGTCAATTCCTAATTAAAAGAAATCTTATATATATATAATAAATATATAGTCATCGATTTTTTAGTTCTTATGGAAACGATATTTTATAGAAAAACATAAGTCGTTAATGAAAATAATACATTTGTTCGGTGTTACGTATTGTTGTTGAAGTTGAATGTAATTTTTTGTTTCGTGTATAAAATGTTAGGTAAGCTTACTCAAATTGTTGGTTTAAACTTAATAAAGCGCAGACCATCCTTCATTCGACCGAGTAACGTTTTTCACAGCAGAAAAAATGATTGCAAGGAATGTGTTTTAATAGGTAAGCATATCATGTTGATATCGAATGATATTTATTACTGACAATGAACAAAAACTGACAATCATATATACTAAAATAAGTTTTTATTTTATCAAGTAATGGTGTACATGTATTCGACCGATTAATTTTTACACAGGCGGTGGTACAGGCTTCATTGGCAGTCGTCTGAGAGCGTTGTTGAAATTTGAAGATTATGACATCAAAGTAATATCAAGAATAGGGACAGGAGAAAAACACATAATAACATGGGTAAGGTTATTTGTCTTAGCACGCGTTGATAATACTTAATTCGTTGGTATTCAGTGTGATTTAGCAAGGAACGGTCTTCCCGAAAACACGGTATGCGTTATAAATATGACGGGCGAGAAGATCATGAATCCATTGAAAATTTTCAATCAGAAATTTAAAGAAGAAATATGGGTTAGCCGAGTGGGGACAACTGCGTTTCTCACGGATATTATAAACAGATCGGAATACAAACCTAACGTTTTTATTAACGTTACGAGCACTGGTGAGCTTTACTTGGTCAGTTAAGACTTTGGGAGAATGTGCAAGACGTCAAGTTGAAGTTCATCCAGGAACTAATCATCAAAATCATCGCAGGCTGCAATACTGGGCACATATAAAAAAATTGTTTTTTTTCCGTAGATATTTATCCGAAAGATGTGATCAGTTCGGAGTTCTGTCCTTGTGTGAAGGTTCCCAATAATTTTTTTTCCGCCCTGTGGTATGACTGTGAAAAAGCAGGCAGTCAAGTTTCCACGGAAGTCCGACATGTCATAATCAGATCAGGTTAAATAACATTTCAATATCGTGCATAATATTTGTATTATCTCAGAAATTACAATAGTGGCAACACCGTCGGGTACTCTGCCTGTTACCCTATTTAACTTCGTCTAATTGATTTATAAAAATCGTTTCGTTTGGTTTCCTTATGCAGGCACTGTATTGGACAAAAATGGCGGATACGTCGGGAATTCATACATTCCATTTTATTTGGGCCTTGGAGCGACAATCGGTGATGGATGCCAACATCATCCTTGGATACACATGGATGATTTGTGTGGTATCATTATGCGTAGCATGAAATGTGCTTCTATCTGTGGTGTATTGAATGCTGTATCGCCTGGAGTATGAGCTTAAAGAAGTTAATTTATGTTGATTTTTATAAAAATAATCACTATCTTATTACACAGATAATAACCAACCGACAGTTGTCCGAAAGTTTGGCTAACACATTAAATCGAAATGTCAAATTCCGTGTATCTCAAGGACTGTTGGGTTTACTTCTGGGAATCGAAAGAACGACTTGTCTTTTGGAAGACAGGCAAGTTCTACCGGAAAGGGCGAGACAGATAGGCTGTGAATTCTATTTTTGTGATATAAACGAAGCTATGAAAAATATTTTACGTTGCTGACGATGGTGAAAATCATTTACATCAGCAGCTAAAACATGTATTGTTTAGTTACTCTTTTAAACTTAAAAACTATATTTGTTTCATTAAAAGTATTACGTCATTAACATGATTTGTTATTATCTTTATATAGATAACAAAACCTAGACAGTGTCGACATATTTTAGGCGCGTTATATTCATTCGTAAAAATACTAGGTTTACCTTTTTGCCTTGATTGCTATTGTAATTATTAAATATTTATATAAAGCTAGAAACTTTACTATTTTATTTTCAAGAAGCTATTCTTCTATTGTGTTCTAAAACCTTTGTATTCATTTGCGAATTACTTCCTTAATTTGCAACAAAACTCAGTGGCGTTTTATCGTGAGACTTACAGCCGGATTCATAGATTACTCTAAAGAAAACCTTAAAAAATACTTAATAAAACTAATTCTTAGTACATTTTTAAAAACAGTATTCATAGAGAAAACTGTAGTAGGTTTTCTGCAAATAATATAATGAATAAATATAATAAGGAGCGTATTTACCCAAAGGCTGTAGCTCTGGGCGGCAAAATTTTAAGTAATAAATTGGTGATTTAAAAAAAAATTAAATACAATATTATATTTGATTACATTAGTTGTTTTACCAAACAGTAATTTATATCCAATGAATATTTTTGTTCTTAAAACGCGTATAAAATAATATAGTAGTTAAAGCTGTATGCCTGTATACCAACGTAGAACACAGTACTGAGTACAGTCGTCATCAGGTATCTTGGAACCGTCCAGGCTACAAATGAAATTCTTCTAACAGTAGAAATTGATATTGAATCTGTAGTTAGTTTGTATAGCGCCTTACACCATGTTAGAAATTGAGACTTATATTTGATGTATATGAAAATTTAGCTATAGAAAAGTCAGGCTTAACTTATTCGACTAGTAAACGAAAAAAGAAAGTTACAATACGACAATAGTCTTGGAGAAGTTGTCAATTGTTATGGTCGTGAATCATTAAAAGTGAATACCTACTTTGTTATTTTAGATGCTGAATAAATTGTAAAAAACCTTAATTTTTTAAAATTATTATCACTCAAAAAATAGAGATTTTTTTAATTATTTTGCACGAAAATTCGAATTTGATCAGTTTTAAATATTTCAAATATTTTTTTATCATAAAATCAGAAACTCAAATCAAATATTTTCGTCTAAAAACGGGAATGGGCCGAGATTTTTTTCTAATTTTATTTTAGTAATGCATTTTTTTCTTCAAAATCTGATGAAATGTTTAATTTTAGTTTTTTTTAATTAAAAAAATAAAACATGTCATGGGAAAATTTGATTTTTGCCTATTGTAGAAGTGAAAAAAAAAATAAATCTCGGCCCATTCCCGTTCTTAGATAAAAAAAAAATTGATTGAGCATGTCATTTTATGATAACAGTTTCAGAATTTCAAAACTGGTCAAAATCGATTTTTGATTTCGATATAATTTGTAAAATTTAATTTCATCAAATAAAAAATACGTTTTGTAATTTTGTAAAAAAAAAAAAATTGTTAAAATTTGCCGCCCTCCAAATGTTGCCTCTCTAGGCCAGTCCTATAGGGCCTGTGCATAGTGAAGACGGGGAGGTCACAGGCGAAAGAAATGAACCCCAGCCACCCCAAAATGATGTTGCCACGATGGCTCAGCCAATAATGTATAAATTCTTCAAAGACCAAAGATGTGAATTAAAAATATGTTAAAAGACTATCCTGCCATCCTACACATTTTTAAAAAGTAAAATACTCCGATGCCATCGAGTGCTCAGGTCGAAAGATTTTCATATGCAACTATGACCACTACGCCCAAGAGTAACCGGCTAAGCGTTGAACAATTTGAAAAAAGAGTAATCTTGAGGGCGAACGCATAGACCTTGTAAAAACAGTACAGTAATAATTTTTTTTTTCGAACCCGAAGGTTGGTTTACAATTCCAATTCTCCATTCTGACCGTCTGCTCGCCTTTTTTTTAAGTTCTTTAAAAGTTTTAATTCCTGCGTCACATTTAATTTGTCCGATATAAGAGTTTCGAGGACGTCCTGCAGTTTTCTTTCCTTCTATCATACCTTCTAATATCATATTATGCAACTCTTCTGGGTCTCTCAGGGCATGTCCAACCATTTTCCAACGCCTTACTCTAATCGCATCTATCAGTGTACGTTTTCTCCCACAGTTCTAAGTATTTCTTCGTTTGATTTTCGCTCTACCCAACTTATCTATTCCATACGCCTCCAGCACTACATCTCAAGAGCTTCTAGTTATCCGCCGTAATCATAGATAAAAGTTGTGATTACGAATGTAATCATAACCGAAACTGATATTATGAGTGTAATCGTAATCATAACCATAAGTGTAATCGTAATCGTAATCATATCTCCGGGCCAGTGATTATAATTGTAATCGTAATCATACCTTAAAAATTCTATGAATACGCCTAACACTGGGATGCGGCCATTTCAAGGGACCTACCAATAGATAATAATTATGTATTTCGTTTATTATACGGTATATACATAGGCGCGATATAGTGTATATACTCCTAACTTTATATATTACAACTTTGAGATGGTTGAAAATAAGATAGGAAAAATGTTGGACAAACACTAGGACAATACTATCATAGGAATCATCTGAAACTAAATCCATCCAAAACACAAGTGTGCGCATTCCACCTACAAGCAGGCGAATAGAAAGGTAAAAGTAAAATGGCAAGGAGAATTTCTCGAACACTGTGACACACCAACATACATAAGTGTGACATTAGACAAAACTTACCTACGGGTCATTCTAAGCGAAACCACCTAAATGGGTGTGGCGGCGTCAGTACTTCAAAAATGTTTGAAATTTTTATCACACTTTATTTATAGGCCCTTAATGACAAAAAAATAAAAATTAGTAAATTAAAAACTATTCAATTTATTCCTTAGTATAACGGTATCAAAATGCAATATTATAGATAAGGCGCATCTAAATTAATTGTGATCATATTTTGTGCTAACGATATTCACTATCTTACTGCGTTCACAGCAGTATTTGGTTTAATATTAGTTTTTACTTTAAAGGTAAATATGAAAGCATACATATTGACAGCGATAAAATTGGTTATATATTTTTACTCTCATTAACTGATTACACTCGGTCATCATTCATTAGCTATTACCTACCTAAAAGAAACTTTAAAATGCAATAAATTATTGTGACCCCTTAGAAGATAGAAACACATCGTCAAAGTGTAGCAATACAATTGTAAGACTAGTACCTTTAGTTAAATATATTGTAGTTGTAGGTACATATTTTATTCTAAAAATCGTATTTCTTTAAAAGCTGCAACAAGTATTGTCTTTTTTTAATAATGAAGTGCTCTATCGGTTTAGCTGTTGAAGAACAATGCCATAAAAGTGCATACGGCATTACTAATATGACGTTATTAAATTTTTGGGACATATCCGATGAAAACCAGCAGCTACTTCGTCATAGAACGAATCTGAATTATTCTATAACGACAATTTTTGAGTACCATAAATCAAAATATATAGATACATTTTCTTTTTGTGTTGTGGTTCAGTAAAGTAAGCAGTTATCAACTATTAACTATCAACCACTTATGTTTGAACCCGTAAATAATATTTTTAAAAACTTAATTGGTTCAAAGCTGATATTATTAAGAGGGCGTCACACCACTTTTTTTCGGCGCGTAAAACATGTCTCAGGATATGCAATTTTCTGGGAAACCGAGTGGGTTTAGCGTATATTTGCTTATGAACAAAATTAAAGATTAGAAGTTTATCTACATATTAACATAGTTTTTTTTCGATTATGTTACTAGGAACCGAGTTATAGATCTTTGAAGTTTTCATTTTTCAATAGCGTATATCTTCGTTTTAAAACATTTTATCGAAAAAAACCTCTGTTAATATGTAGATAATTTCTTCATATTTAATTTTTTTAATAAGCAAGTATGCGCTAAAACCACTCAGTTTCTCAGAAAATTGCATATCCTGAGACATGTTTTAGTCAAATTTTAGTAGTTTTTTAGTGCCAGTTTGTGGCGATCCTAGCGGCGACTTTAAAACACATGCGGTGTGACGCAGCGGCGGCAGTGGTGGTGGGGGCAGCTCCTAGCGGGTTGCAATTCACGTGAACACGAAGGCGGCGGCCGCCGACCACGACCAAAACCGGTTTTAGGCGGCAGATAATAATATTACATATTTCCTCTTATCTACAATAGTTTTTTTATTCTTTATATTTACAGGAATTTCCAAATCTTTAGGGATATACTGTAAAATGTTGTTAATTCCAATTAATAATTGATCGGGTCTTATAACTATTGGATGCAACTGGTTGTTGTGAGACAAAAGAATAGCATTTGTTAGCTTGTTTATACTATTTTGTAGTATAAATATGCTACTCTCTATAATTTCAACTAATTTGTCCACATTTTTAAGACCCGACATTTTATTTTGCAGGTCATTTATATTACTTTGCAAAATATTCACATATTATTATTTACAATATCCTTATTAGAGTTAAACGAGTTAATAGAATTATTAAAATTTGATATTAAGCTTCTTACGATGGACACTTGGTTCTGCGTTATTTTAGCAATATCTTCTTCTTCGTTGTTTTCGAAATGGTCGATAAAACTATCAGACCTACGAACATCGTCGGCATCGGCCACTCCAATTGTCTACTTCCAAACCCGTCCAATCGTATCGACTGATTTTTTCAGTCTTCTGTGACCACCCAAACGTCTTAAATCCCACATATCTGAAGACAATGTGTCGAATGCGATTTTAAGACGTTTATGCGAGTCGTAATCAACGTAAGAGCTGTTGATTTTGATGAAATCACGTAGCATGCATTCGATTTCATGGGCCTGAATCTCGAACGTTGTTAAATTAATATAAGCGTTAAAATGCCAGAAACTTTGAATAATTTTTGTGTCGCCCAACACTTCGTACTGCAACCCCGGATTATCTTGTAAATAGTCGATGGAAAAATAATTAGAATCTGTCGATTTAATTGTTAAACTACCAACGATAAAAGTCCAAAATATAATTTGTACTTTAAAATACATATTAATTTATATATTTAAACACAACGACAACTAAAAAATGAACACGCAATACAAAAAAGACAAACTATTACTCAAAAATACTGAGTGAACGAAAAACAAGAAAACCACAATCCTATATATATATATGTAATCGAATATGATAATAATATAGGTATAATGTATTTAATAGAATAGTATCATAAAATAATATATCATAATAATTAATTATCAAACGGGGACAACGTACACAAATGAAGAGCTAGTACAATTTTTGTACTTTGGCACTTCGAACGTTTGACAAATTCACTCTTCAAATATTATATCAACTAAATACAAGGTACATGGGACCTGGGACAGTAGTGATATAATATTATATGTATTTTGTACTTTGGTCAATGATATGCACATACATATACACGTGTATATTTGATTATTGAAGAAAAACACAAAATTAAATATAAGTAATATCAAATTTTTAATCGTTGTTAACATATTTGATAAATTTATGATTCCACAAAACTCAAAAGTCGCCAAACCCATATCATATAGTACTAGAGTCTATATAAATATAATGCTTCATGACAAATTCTCTCTTATTACAATTTACGACTCTAATAATCTTGCAAGCAACAGAATATGACAGGTAATACTTTGTAGCGAATTCTAGCAAAATAAAAAATTATAATTTGATCTGGTTTTATATTTTTAAGTGGAAGCATAGACTCACAGACTTACACCGACGAAAGTATATATATTGAACCTCAAACAACCATGCCAGATAAACCTACGCCGTATGTTACATTAATAATAAATGCAAATTTCAAGACGGTTTTCTTCAATTTAAGAACTTTTAAGAAATTTTAATAAATGTTTTTTTAGATCGAGTCAAAAATTTTTAAGGGGAATAGACAAAGAACAAGATCCAAATAATCAGTCAGTGGACGTTGATTATTCCGAGTCAGAAACTTCAAGAGATATCGATGATGTTCGGCGGTAATCGCATACATATATTTATACATAATTTGTTAAATCTTTAAGTAATATAAAATAATACCTTTCCTGAATTTTTGTAATAGCGATAACATAAACGCACTGCTATGTGGTGATGAAAATGCGACCCCTGAAGCTGGTTACTCAGTCTACGAACCTACCGCGTAATATTCACGAATATACAATTTAACATTTTTTTTATAGTTAGTTTTTCATTAATAAAAAAATACTAATTTTGTAGACCTAGCATTGGAGATTTTGATTTTGGTGAAGGGACAAGTAGCACATATCCAACATTGACAGTCGAAAAGACAGTATCGGATGCCCCAGAGTAAGTACTTTTAATAGTATTTGTTAATACATTTGCAGATATAAAATGATCCTTTTTTCAATTAAATTTAGTTTGGCTTTAGATCAAATAAAGAGTACAAATATTCAGGTCGACGGATCGTAGATTTTGGTTATATAATCGACCAAATTAAAAGTTGTGTTCATGAAGGAGGGTTTGGTTGTTCGTTTATAAGTATGCGATTAGTCGGTGAAATAAATTATGGACTTCGTTCTGTATTTATATTTATTTGTGAAATGTGTAATTTGTCTATAAGAATTGAGTCTGAAAAGGTAAATCCCGAAAGATATATATCAATTAATGAGGCAGCTGTAAGCGCAACAATATCTGTTGGTATTGGATATTCCCAAATTTCAGAGGTGTGTGCTACTATGGATATACCTTGTATGTCTTCAACAAAATTTACGGAAGCTCAGAGGGATATGAGTGAAAAAATCCATAAAATAGCCGGACAACAAATGGCAATAGCTGGAAAAGAAGAAAGACGATTAGCTCTTGAAAGTGGATCCATAGATAATGATAGAATACCAATGTGTACGGTCGTGGCAGATGGTCAATGGAGTAAACGTAGTTATAAAACTAACTATGATGCACTATCAGGAGTGGTAAGAAGTTCTAGCTTACTAGTGGCTAGAGCCTAGCCTAATAGTTATTATTAATCATTGTATTATATTAATTCGGTATTAGAAGCGTCTAATTATACAAATTAAAATTGTATTTACAGGCAACAATAATTGGTTACAAATCAAAATTAATTTTATTTATTGGTATAAGAAATCGGTATTGTTGTGTTTGTCAAAGAGCAAAAAATAAACACGTCCCAATTCCAGAACATGCATGTTTTTTGAACTGGAAAAAAGGAGCTACCAGTATGGAAGCTGACGCAATTGCCGAAGGTTTTAAATTAAGCGTTAGTTTACATGGATTAAAATATAATAAACTAATCGGTAAATATAAATGTTTAATAATAAATATTACATTTCTAAAAGGCGTTCACAGATGTTGGTAACTATATTTAAAATAAAATAAATTATTCTATTAGGCGATGGTGATTCAAGTATCACTAGAAGATTAGCTGAAATTATGCCATATGGACCATCTTTAATTATTCAAAAAATTGAGTGTCGTAATCATTTGTTGAGAAATTATGGTACTAAATTATCAGCATTAACAAAAAATACGAAAATTCCTATACATTTAAGAAAACATATAAAATCAAATTTATTACGATTTAGAAGTGCCATTACAAAATCAATTGAGTACGGGAATTCATTACACAATCAAACAGAAGCTCAGAAATGCATGGGTAATTATTCAATTTTTTTGAAGTTTCATTTTCTTTGTAAATTTTTAATTGATAACTCATTTAATTTATAGGCCTAAAAAAGGATATTGCAAACAGCTATCGGCATATTTTGGGAGCACACGATAGATGTGAAAAATATTTCTGTACAGGGCCCAAACCTAATGAAATTAATTTAACTGTGGATGCTGAGAAATGTAATTTAACTGCTGAGTTTCGTCAAATATTAAATAGATTAGTCATTCATTCCGATAGTTTGCTAATGAATGTGGATAATAATGTTTGTGAGCAATTTAATAGTATTATTAACAAGCACTTAGGCGGGAAACGTATAAATTTTTCGCAAAGGCAATCGTATAACACACGCGTAGAGGCAGCTGTGATATCCTATAACACATCTGGACAGCTTTTACGGGCTATTCACAAAGGTGTCGCCAATGAAATAAGTCCGGGTGAGATTTTTTTTTTTTTTATTATTTATATCTAAATTTAGCTAGATTAATAACAAAATTCATTATACTACACAATAGGAGAAGTTGGAAAAAAATTTCTTAAAAATAAGAAAAAGAAGTCTTTGTTATCAAAATCTAGGAAGCTTCTTTTTCCCAACAAAAAAAGAATGAAGACATCGCATCAAGGTCCAGATGAACATTATGGAATGGCGGAACCGTTACTTGATGATGACGTATCTTTAGATGAAATAGATAAAAAAAAAAATGGATTTTATAGAGTTTCTTAGGTTAAATGAATTCGAACGGTTATCCTTAGAAACAAATACCAGGGACCAAGCAAATACACAAATTTGGCACACTGAAAGACGATATCGTTTGACAGCTTCCAATTTTGGGCGTGTTTGCAAAAGAAGATCGACTACATCGTGTAAATCGATAGTATATGATCTTCTTTACCGGACGTTTTCATCGGCAGCGACAGAATACGGCAACGCAATGGAGACAAAAGCAATTTTATTTTTACAACAAAAATTAAAGTTAGTTGTTAATCCATGTGGTCTCCTTGTTGATGAACATTTACCCTTTTTAGCAGCCTCTCCAGGTAACAAATTATCATATTTTATTCATTTTAATTGGACATTATATTTTTAGACGGATTAATAGAAAATGATTATGTCGTGGAAGTGAAATGTCTATTTTCAGCAAAGGATACTGCTAATTTTGTAGAAGCTATAAATACGAAAAAGGTAATGTATAAAATAAATATTTCAACTACACTAAAAAACATACTTAATTAATACCAATTGTTTCAGATAACATTTTGCCGTGTTATAAATCTAGAACGGCTAGAAATAAAACGGGATCATAGTTATTATTATCAAATTCAAGGACAGATGCATATAAGTCGAAGAAACTGTTGTTATTTTGTTGTTTATACTGACCAATGGGCTGAAGTCGAAATAATACCATACGACGAATCATTTTGGCAAGAAAAAATGGTAACTCAATTAGAATGGTAAGTTATAAAAAAAATATAAACAATAAAATTATGACTAAGTTTTGTATTTATTAATTATAAGGTTCTACAAAGAGTGTTTACTCCCAGAAATTATTAATCCACAATACGGGAAAAGGCTGCAAACAAACGATATAAAAGATCCAAAACTCATAATGGATTGTATAAAAGAAAAAAAAGGGAGGTAACACATAGTTATAAAAATAACATACATGTAAATAACATACATAAAATAACTATATGTTCATTTTGTAGCCTTCTACTTAGTAGTATATGTATTATACTTTTTTTTAGTTTTTTATAGGTACAATATTATATTTTATGTTATAATTACTAATACTAAATATTTCATAACTATATATTTAATACTTATTATCATTTAAATCAAATTAAATTATTATTATATGTTTCTATGTTTGAGTATTTATACGAGTAACTATACAACTCAACATAAGTTGACGTTTTACATTACTAACAACTTCCCATGTATCCGGCTTCGCCCGGAATTATACATACAACTGCCACAAAGTACTCACAAATTATACTTAAACTATCCTCGTGAAACACTCCTTTTATCAGTGAATACTAGAATACAATTCGTTCAGTATTTACTGAAAAAATCGTGCACAGACACGGTAAACAAATTTGTTTTATAATATGTAGAGATTTGAAGTAGATAATAATTAAGTTCTTTTTGAAACTGGTCGACGTGTATTCGCATATAATAAGTAATAACTAACAAGCAAGTACGAGGTATCAATACGTTTATTCTGATTTCTAAGAAAATTATTCATAGGTTATATTGTCATAACAACAAAAGTAATAAAGCTATCAAAGTTATTCAAACTATGATAGCTGTCCGTAAAAGAATGATGTGCTACTCCGCACTGGCTGCAACGCGCAGCGTCGCAGCACTCGTATGGGCGTGGCTATATGCCGCCGCAGCCGCGACGATATGGAAAATAACGCCATCTCTTGAGCGTTGGTTTCGTTTCACTTTTGCTTTGACGCCCTCTTAAGAACATATCTTAAATTTTATATACACAAAATATTTGTTTTTAATTTTTAACTTTTTACATACTAATTTTAATGTAAAAGTATTTTTTTTTTGTAATAGTATTCTTATGCTGAGTTGCATTAATATTCAGTAAACGTTTAATTAACCAATAGCGCGTTTATCAACGATTAAAATATTTATTGGTCCACTAAACTGGTGGTTATCAGTTCATTAAATACTTTAACAACGGCTTATCTCATTGTTAAAAAATAAAATGATGATTATATTTCTCATGTTCAATACTTTGCGCTGAAAATAAGTAATAAATTATTAATGTGTAACTATTATAATAACTTATAATATAGTTTTTTGAACACATCAATTTTAAGTTTCACACTATTTTTGACACATTTGGAACTACTGACCCTCTCTAGATTGTTATGTGTGCTAATAATGTGAAAATGGTCCAAAATGATTTGTGAATCAATTTGTATAAATAATTTCAACTAAATTCCATGAGCCATTCATATTTTACATTATGTATCATCAAATACGAATATCAAATTTAAGTACTATTAATTTTCCGTCCCATATAAACAGGAGGTTTTAATAATATTACTTTAAGCATAAAGTAAGTATATTTTGTGATTTATTATAACACGACAATTAACTAATTTTTAAGAAAATCATATCTGTTATAATTTTAAGCTTAAACATATTTACACTTTGTGGTGTTTTTATCAACTCACATGTATCACAAATTATAATGTAAAATACGTAAATTTCTAATAAATGAAGACAATATTATTTCATTATAAGAATACAAGAGTCAACTGAAAAGTTAATCTCATTATCATATATCATTATTTTGACTATTCTTGCTATCACATTTCGTTGTGATAACATTTGAAGTTGAACACATAACCTTGGTATTATTTGTAAACCCTTTAAGGTGGAAACGCACCGGCTGCAACATGGGGGCGATGTTGCCCTGCCGAAAATCTCTGAAACAATTTCTTTGCAACGCCACCTAGCGTTTTGTCTTTTAAAGTATGTGTTTTTGATTTTTTTTTTAAATTTTTTAACATGGACAAATTGGATATTGACACGTTTTAGTTAAAAATATTATGAAAAAAAACTGCCGTACTTACAAATAATAAATGAACACTTAACGTTTAGAAAAACTTCTAAGCGGTGACTTTTATTAGCACTGTGCATAAAAGAGTAAATTCCATAAAAATGTCGAACTAATTCGCCTTTTTTTTAAATGTATACAAAGCCAATAATATTAACGTATACAATTTTACAAAACAAAAAATTGATTTGCTTTAAAATATATCAATAATGATGCTTTCTATGTAGTCAGAATGAAAAATAATAATAATAATATATCTTACACTACGACTTATAGTGCATTGGATGAATAAAATACGGTTTAAGAAAAATTTTGAAATTTTAGTATGCTTAGTATGCTAATAATAAGGAATGTTCAATAACTATATTTCTAATGTAGAAGAATGGTGAACATCATTAAATTAAGATAGTCTAGAACGGTCAAGAAGGCGAGAATACGGATACACGCCTACAAAATTAAAAAACACTTAATAATCGAACGGTAAGAAACATATAAGTTCTTTTAAATAGTCTTCGAAATCGTTGATGATTTTTATAATCATATTGTCGGTAGAAAGTTGGTTTTCGTCAACGTTGAAGCTGAACCGATCGATTTCATTTGAACTGGCACCGTTTAAATCGTTTAGCATCCCGTTGGCATTTGTCCGCACTCTTGCTGAAATGTCACCTGTGCGATCGACGTCAATCGTTTTTCTTGACTTGAGTTCTGATGAAATAACCACAAGAAAATCATCTTTGTACGCCGTTAATTTCAATGCTTCACGGATAGCTTTAATAATACGATCTTTGTTGCGTTTTAGCATCCTTAAGTCGATCATGAACAATTGTTGTCCATAGACGTGCAGTACGAACGCAAGGTAACAATAAATTCTGGAATCGACAATTTTGACAAACATGTGTTGGTGGTCGGGGCGTATGTATGGTTTGTATATCCAAATGCGATTTTCCACACATTTTTTGGTAGTAACCACCTCGAGATCAAATCGTTGTTTCGTCTCGGTCCAATCGACATTGACTTCTTTCATTTGTCTGAACAATAATTGATTGTTCTGCCAAAATACGGTTTGAGATATAAAAACTCTATCATGGCCAAAACACGGCCTTTGAAAACATCTTCATTCAATACGGAATCACATAGATGGTGGAACATACTATTGTATGTACTCATATTTTTCGAAATGAAATCAGATCCCCTCACAGCCGGAGGAAGGTATTTATCGTCCACACAATTATCGATGATATTTGAAACACCAATTTGTAGTTGGTCATCTTCGAATGGGTTTTTTTTTTGGATAAAACGTTTATTGTCATCGTAATGACTGATGGCGAAGATTTTCAAAAAAAATATCCAAGCCCATTTTCCAATCTCGAAATTTGACCTTATTAAAATTTGTAGTATAGTGTTGGCTTCCTTTTCGAGACGTTTTACAGTTATCACGCTATGAATGAAAGGTTCTCCGCCTTTAACCCCATCAACTAATT